GTCATTGCGACCACTCTAGGCGGCTTACATCACATAACATAACACGACAAATATAAAAAGGAATTATTACACTAACAATTCTTCAAGATGGAAAAAAAAAGAAAAATAAACCATAAAAGAAAAAAAGAAAGAGGGAGAGTCAGAGATTAACTGGAAGGAAGGCCTGCCTAAACATCCATGTTTTTAATTGGTTTTTGAAAATACCCAGCAAGGGAGCCGCATGAATCTCCGAAGGCAGATTGTTCCAGAGGCGAGGAGCCACCGCCAAGAAGACCCAGTTTCTTGTCTTTTCCTTCCGGGCCTCCCTCGGCATCAGGCTCCTCAGCCTCACCTCCTGACTCGCCCGAGTGACACGGGTAGAACTTGGTGGGAGTAGGCATTCCACCAAGTATTGAGGCCCTAAACCTTTTAGGGCTTTATACGTAAGCATCAAGACTTTGAAGTGAATGCGGAACCGTATGTGCATCCAATGCAACGCAGCCAGAATAGGAGAAATATGATGGCATTTTCTCGCTCCACTAAGGAGTCTGGCCGCCACATTCTGCAGTGAATCTTACAGAAAATATCCTTAAAATGCTTCTTAGATGGCATTTCACCCCTGTAAGATTGGCAAAAATGTTGGAAGGTAACAGCAATGTTTGTTGGAAGTGTAATTAATTTATCTGTTTATCTTTAAAAAAAAAAAAAAACATTTGCTACAGAACAGTTTTGTTAACTGAAAAATTGCTGCAGGAGAGCGGATACCTTTATTAGAACACTCCAAATCAAACATCCCAGCACAAGCTTTCATGATTAAAAATCACTTTTTCAAACATGTCCCAATATATTGTGAAAAGTGCAGAAAAATTCTAAATATACCGAAATCCCTTGCCCATTTTATCATTGTTTCCTTTAGAAGAAGTGGTTTTTAATCACAAAAGCTTGCGTTGAATGTTTGATTTTTAATGGTCTAATAAAGGTATTAATTCTCCTACATTTGTATTGTGTAAAGGAGCACACAGCACTCTTTGTCATTGTTTAAAAAACTGGTTTTATATTATAAAATTTCTTTTAAATTGAGCCACTCCCCTGCAGACTCTGCTGTCTGTCCAACAGAAGAAGTGGTTTTTAATCACAAAAGCTTGCGTTGAATGTTTGATTTTTAATGGTCTAATAAAGGTATTAATTCTCCTACATTTGTATTGTGTAAAGGAGCACACAGCACTCTTTGTCATTGTTTAAAAAACTGGTTTTATATTATAAAATTTCTTTTAAATTGAGCCACTCCCCTGCAGACTCTGCTGTCTGTCCAACTGTCTGTCCGTCTGTCTGACCAACCAACCAACCAACCAACCAGCCAGCCAGCCAGCCAGCCAGCCAATGGAAGTATGGGGGCCCACAGTGGCTCTTGAATCCCATCAAAATATGGCAAAATTGCTTCCATGCCCTCTAGAGGCACACATTCTGAAATATTTTTTTTCAAAACATAAAAATAAAATGAGGGTGGGGGCTGGGACCTGCAAAATGTCCCTGGGGCCTGCATTTTCCACCCCTGCTTCAGTAGGAGAAAGGGTCTTTGTGCAATTTAGATTACAATAAACCCTGTCACCAATTCACAAAATAGACTAAGGCTATGATATAAATATACTGTACATCATGCAGTATGCACGCTTAGCTAGGAATAAGTCCCAATGAAATCCATGGGATCTACCTTTCCATGATCACACACACACACAGGATCACTCTGCAACAATATAGGACAGGTGTTGTACGTGTGTGTTCCGTTCGCTCCAAAACACAAACAAAAATGCTAACATTGATTGCTTCCTTTTCAAGCCTAATGTCTTCTGTCCAATCAGGTCAAACCCTTGCACTGTCCGCTTGTTAAGCTAGTTTGGCAGAAAGTTATGTCTTGCCAAACAATACTGGCAGCAAAAGAGCAAATTCCATTCCATTCTCCACACCCTGCTTTATTCAGGGAGGGGATTAATTCTGAAACATGTCTGGAACCATTTGTATATTATTATGCTAGCAGCAAAGCCTCTGTACCAGATAAGCTTCTTATTTTTAGGGGGTTGCAACCCTAACTTATGAGTCATTCCTTTAAAATCAGGGGGGCTGCATTACTAATGAAATGTGGTTTCAGTCTTGCCTGCCTTTATTTGTCAGAATAGCTGCTTCTCCACCCTTCCCTTCACCTGTATTCAGAAACTAAACCAATGAGTTTATATAATTATCTGGTCCTAAAAAGCCAAAACATTTCTCTGTGGGGGTACTGGGGGGATGGCACTAAACATACAGCCATACATGCTGACAGACAAATTGTCTGTTGAACGCATTCTGTTGAACCCATTCTGTTGAGTAAAGGCTCCTCTCAGGTATTGAGAACAGAACAGTAGTATTGTGTTCCTAACAATATGGAAAAAAGGGAAAAAATGAAAGGAAATTAATAGCCCAAATCAAGCAACACGAAAAACAGAAATCTGCACTGTAGCAGCTAAGATAAGCTAGACCAGCCCTGCATTAACCACATACCCTGGAGTGGCAGTAGTGATGGAAGATGGAACTGTTGCAGAGTTCTGAATTTCTGGTAAAAGTCCCCCCCCCCAATTAAAGTATTTAAAATGTCAATAACTCATTCTGAGATATTTGTAGGAGAAAGAATAAAAATGTCTTTACTTGTAGTTGCTTGATTTATGTATGCTGCATTCTTCACTGCACACATACTTAGTAACAAACTGAATAGATCAACAGCAAACTAAACAAGACTATGTCCAACAGATGAAAGAGAGAGAAAAGAAAGCTCAGCAAAGCAACTGGCTCTTTCAATTCACAGGACTGGATAGATAACCAGCCCAGCCCAGAACAGTCTCAAAGCAACTGGCTCTTTCAATTCACAGGAGTGGATAGATAACCAGCCCAGCCCAGAAAAGTCCCTCCCTGTCATACAAACCAGAGGCAGCATGCAATATTGCAAATAAAACTCTTAACAAGAACTCTGTGTGCTGTGAAGTCTGCTGAGTAGCTATCCTAAGCTTTTCAGCACCTCTTGGGTGGAGCAGGTTGTCCTGATTCCAGCCACTGTTGAAGCAAGATTCAGTTGCCAATCTGATTGGGTTTGCATATGGAACGAGAGAAGAGCCATATTGTGCTTCCCTTTGGGTAGCAAAACGTCTCAGGTTATGACTATGTGATCAAATAGTGCAGGATTTGCTGCGCTTATAAAATGGGTGAATCTGATTTCTTTTTTTTACTGACCACAGAACATAATAAAGGCTTATTCGAATCAATCCAGTCCTTTTTGTTCCCAAAGAGGTGTTTTCCCCCTCAATGCTGCAGCTGATGGGCTACATTTTCAAGCTTGGATGATTTGAACAAGCTTTTCCTTGTGTGGTTGGTTATGATACTTTTGTGTACAGTTGGGGCGTGATGTTCAGGACTGTGGGAACACATCCCCTACCCATTCTTTCCGCTCTCCTGATTTTTTTTCCAAATATCTTACATACAGTATATGAGATTAGCACTAGCTCATCCTTACTGCTGGGTTATTATTATTTCCCATATTTACTACCCCCTTCAGTTCCCCATCAGATTGGCAGAGATATGAATCACATTGCATCCAGTATGAATACTGAACTCCTGAATCAATATGCATCCCCTTTGTGAGCACTAATACAGGCTGTGAATCAAATTGCAGGAAAGCTGAATTGTTCTGATTTGGCTTTCCAATGCAGTGTCACCCTAAGTCAGCCCCATGTGAAGGCTCTTGAAGGAACGATTAATAGGATAGTCATCACTGATCTCCCACATGCATTCAGTGAAAGGGGATGGACCAACAAGAAAGGATAATTCTTAACATTGTTGGGAGCCTTTTCTGAATGGGATTGCTTGTGAGTAAACATGACAGGAGGATCTTGGGCAGGAATGGAGGATACTGCTGCATAATATAACACTAAATGACATGCTTGGGAGGAGCCTCTGTTTATTTTGGCATGTCCAGAGAATCATGAAAATTCTGTCCTGTAACTTTACCTTAACCAGATAGTTTTACATGGCAGTCAGGTTTGCCATAGACTTGGTAAATCTTCTTTATGTCTTCTCTCCCCATCTTTTCATTTCAGTTTATGTAACATTTGAGTAGATCTTAATTTCAAATAGTTGAAGTATTCTTTACTGACAGAACAGTTACTGAGTAAAAGACCTGTCAATGTGGTAGTTAACAGCTTTGGTGCTATTGCTTTGATGCTTTTAACAGCACCTGGCTGTATTAGGGAATCAGCAGGTGAAGCTTTTCATTCTCCTGGGCTTGGAAAAAAGCCATACTGTAGGTGTAACTAAGGTTGTGCAGTCTCACAGCTAAAGCTGATAGGTCAATAGCTTCCCATTCCCTAAGACTTCAAGACCAGGAGATGGAATGCTGGTCCTTGGAATGCCTCACAGGCAGGTCAGGCAAGGGTTGGGAGTAGGGGACAGTATGTGGGAAGGTCTGGCTGACAAGGTAACATGAGAAAATCAGAGTCAGGGGCTTGTTTTTTGGCAGCCAGTAAATGGCAAAACACACCCAGGTGCTAACTGAGAAATAGTGGGTGGAGATGCCCAGGCCACCTCACATGTAAAAACTGAACTTTCTTCTCTTCCAAGCTACTTGCCCTAAGATTTTTCTGTCCACCTGGAGAAATGGAAAGGGATAGTATTTCTCTGAGTATCTGACACACACGCCCATGTCTAGCAGCCCTGCTCTGGGCAAAAGCTGAAGTCTCAGGAAATTGCTATGTTTATCCAGGTGAGGAGAAAACTCTCAAAGAAACGTGTGCTGAAGGAAGGAAAAGTTTTAGGTTATGAGGTGTTTTATTGCTCAGTCTAGGTACCTTTATCACTCATTCCCAGCTGGCACCAGAATTCACTGGCTCAGAGCAAAGGTATTTATATGTATGTTGTGCTTGTTTCTCAACCAAACTTGCCTGTCCTGTTTCTCCCTAATCACAAGGCCCACCTCCTGTTTTGGCCCTGAAATATTAGGGGATGGGATATTGCTAGCATGGCAAAAATTTTTGTCATAAATCTCAAAATGTGTAGTTGGTTATTCTCAGAATGGGAGAAAGAAAGAAAACATTGTTTTCATTTTCCTTTGCCTTGAAAGATTTACCATATGTATAGTTCATGACATGTACCACCACGATCACCCTGCAACCCTTATTCCTCTGTCCAAAATACTTAACATAATGTTATTAAGGATCTGAGCAGATCGTGTCTCAGTTCCTGCACCCATTCTCTCCACAGTAATGGCCATTCACATGTTCTACACACTGTGTTGAATGCTCAGTGGTCTTTGTGGTGCTGCTTGATGGGGTGAGTTAATTTGGATGGTTTTTTAATTTTTATTTCACATAGAAACATACATAGTGCTGCATACCTTAAATATAACAACAGCTTAAATATACTGTAGGTAATACCATTTTACTTCAGAAAGGATAGGCAAACATTCAGTTTTTCATTTTCAGAGAATGTAACTGAGATCTAGAGAAAATACACTTAGTATGTCTTCCCTCAAAGAATACTCCTCTTCAGGTTTCCTGATAGAGATGGCCTCCCAGGAGTGTGTTCCCCAGATCCTCTTTAGCCCTGCCACATACTAGTTTTTATTTTTAGTTTTCCCTCTAAAGGGTTTGCTATACTTTTTATGGTTGCTTATACTTTTCTGGGTTGAAGACCCTCAGGGAGATTTGCTATGTCAGGTATGTTTTGTCTACTGTTTGTTTTTTAATTCTATAAGCCTTAAGATGTCTAGAAATATACCCATACTTATTTTTTTGTTTTATCAGAAGCTCTATTTTTGTTCAAATTGTGTCATAGCTAACCCATGGATTTGCTATTAAGTGATGACAGAATAGATATAGTTCTATCTTACGTTGTGAAATTAGAGGGAAAATTTCCCTCTACCCATTCAATATTCCCTAACAGCACTGGAGCTTAGTAGGGATAGTGAGTAGTGCTGGTCTTGATCCTGCAGTGAGATAGATACAGAACTAGAATATCAACTGTAAGAAATAAACAGTAAGCAAAGTCTTACTAAGTAAAGAAGGGACATGGTGCAACAGCAAGTTAAACCGCAGAAGCCTCTGTGCTGTAAGGTCTGTAGATCTTCAGCTGTAAGATCGAATCCACATGACAGACTGAGCCCCTGTCGCTTGTCCTAGCTCCCGCCAACCTAGCGGTTTGAAAGCATGCAAATGTGAGTAGATAAATAGGGACCACCTCGATGGGAAGGTAACAGTGTTCCGTGTCTAAGTCGCACTGGCCATGTGACTAAGGAAGATTGTCTTCAGACAAACGCTGGCTCTATGGCTTGGAAACGGGGATGAGCACCGCCCCCTAGAGTCGGGCATGACTAGACAAAAGTTGTCAAGGGGAACCTTTACCTAAAGTCTTATACAAATATAAGAAAAGGTGTACAGGCACCTTTTCTGTCCAATTGCTCACTAAGATGTAGCACAACACGGTGCAATCTAGACTCAGGGTGTGGTTGCACTGCTGAATTAAATTGGGAGCTGGTTCGAGGGTTTACAAATCAAGTTAATGTTATGTTGCTTTCATTCCACTGTCTCTGTCCTTATGGTCACCCACAGCAATGGAGGTGGTGGTGGCAGCAGCAGCGACAGCATCAAGAGCTGTATTTGAGCGCAAACAGCAAGAAGGGCTGGTCAGCAGGGAAGGATGCCACCTCTTTGCGTGGCTGGCTGAAGGAAGGCCTCACCTTTTTGCCCTTTGCAGTTATGGCAGCAGGTTGTGTAGATAAGGAAACAAGGGCAAGCAGCTGCGGCCCTTTGGGTCTTCCTTCTCCTCACCGGTGTGTATGGATATACACATACACACATTCATGCCTGCCTACATGACAACAACTGAATTCCCACCTTCCCCTTTCCTTCTCTTTTGCCATTTTGTTTCCAGGAACTGCTTCCTTCATGGCCATTGGCATTGTCTCCCTTCCTCCACCCTGCCAGTCTCCAGTTTGCATTGTCACCTGAGGGAGAAAAGGGTGTCATAAAGAAGAGGTTAAAAAAAAATTAAAATTGGCACCCAATTCAGCAGACCCCCATGTCACAATTTACTCCAACGCAGGCATCCACACATGCCGAAATGATTCAAAATAAATCAAATTAAAATAAATGACCACCCTCACAGCTCTTTAATATAACATAGGGCCTGATCACCTGAGGCAAATGTTCCCTACTTATATCCTGGTTAGATTGTTGCATAAATTTCTGGTCACACAATGCATGGCTAATGTCGAATCATTTCTGTGGCTAGTGGTATAAATGCAGTTTATTTCCCCCTCACAGGAGGCTTCTATTATTTTGTTCTGATGACATATCGGAACATTCCTGATTGGTATTGCATGTGTGAACGTCAGTCTCACCAGGGAAAACAAAGAAGGGAGAGTGGCCAGGCCCAAGGCACCACCTTGAAGAAGCTTCCCCACCCCATGGGGCTCAGCAGGGGTAAACCAGTCATTTGCCAGTGAAAGAAAGGAAGGAGGCATGGCTTAGGGGGTGTATATATTTTTTACTTTAAGAAATTATAAAATAAGGGGCCGTGCTGCCCCAGGAGACAAGACAGAAAATACATTTGTTTATTTGTTTAATTTTTATATACTGCACAACTGGCCGAAGACCACTCTGGGCAGGATACAACTTATGTATATAAATTGGTTCCACAGTGTAGCCGGCCATAACTTTTCAAATAGGGAGAAATGAATCAGTAACATTAAAACAAATGGGAATGTTTTCCCAGGTATATATACCATGTGACCATGATTTAGTACAATAGAAGTATGAAAAGTATCGTTAGAAGTGGGAAACATTTGCCTCGTGTGATAAGACCTTACTTTCAAGCCAAAAAAAGAGAGTATACTTGGATGTGCATTTCATAGGTAGAATTTTTTACATTGAATTCAAACGTGCTAAACTTGACACAAATATAGGCGTATTACAATGTGTAAACACACCCTTAGTTATAATTAAAGTAGGACTATTGAAGTCATTGTGGCTTGGGTTAATCATGACTAGCTTAAATATAATCAATTTCAACGAGTCTTATACAAGTATGACTAAATTTAGTTTCAATCCACTTGCTGACAAGTTAACCCCACTGAATACTTGTTGACTTAACATGCATAAGATTGCACTTTGGTACAAAACAGATCCTGGTTAGATATAGAAATGAATAGTTGGAAGGGGCCTGTAAGGCCATCAAGGCTAACCCCCTGTTCAATGCAGAAATACAAATCAAAGGATATCTGCCAGGTGGTTGTCTCAATTTCTCTTGAACTCCTTCAGTGTTGGAGCACTCACCATCTCTCAAGGTAATTGGTTTCACTGTCGTACTGCTCTAACAGATAGGAAGTTTCTCCTAATATTCAACTGAAATCTGGCTTCCTGTAACTTGTGCCCATTGCTGTGTGTTAATTATCTGTATTATATTTTGGTTGTTCTTCAGGGTGGTTTTTTTTTCTTCCATCCTCTCATCCAGCATTTCAAAAATTGTATCTGCTGAATTCATCACTGACTACCAAACGCTGCTACAAGAGTCCTCAGCAGGCAAAAAAGAGGTAAGGCACTCCTGGTTACAAGTTAACAGACATCATTTTTCTTAGGACTCCGGGCTTGAAGAGTTTTCAAAACTTCAGTGGTAAGTATTTCAAGCAGGCTTAAAGGGCTGCGTGGTGGCGCTGCGGGCTAAACTGCAGAAGCCTGTGCTGCAGGGTCAGAAGACCAAGCAGTCGTAAGATCGAATCCACGCAACGGAGTGAGCGCCTGTTGCTTGTCCCAGCTCCCGCCAACCTAGCGGTTCGAAAGCATGTAAATGCGAGTAGATCAATAGGGACCACTTCGGTGGGAAGGTAACAGCGTTCCGTGTCTAAGTCGCACTGGCCATGTGACCACGGAAGATTGTCTTCAGACAAAACGCTGGCTCTATGGCTTGGAAACGGGGATGAGCACCGCCTCCTAGAGGCGAACACGACTAGACAAAAATTGTCAAGGGGAACCTTTACCTTTAAAGGGCTGCAGTGCAACTATGCAAAGATAAATTAAAGAATGCCTCCACAAGGGGTTCATAGCCAGAACATCTCTGAAAATTATCAAACCACACAGGGAGTGGACTTTGTGGGATGTTTAATGGAGAAGAAAAGAAAAAGAAACCCGGGGTGGCGAAAGCGTTTTGGACAAGGCAAGAAGAAGAAAAAAATCATGAATACAATTATTTTAGTTTCTTCCTTAAGCAACATTTTTTCTCCTTTCTTCTGAATATATTCTGTTTCCATTTTAGTAGCTATGGTAATGGCTATTTACATTTCTTTTTTCAAGTGCCTGTGCATTTTAAAAACTTTCATATGTATGAGCCATCTGTCCATGTTTGACTGAATATAATAATAGCTATACCATAGAAATTAGTGAATGAGGATGCACACAACAACATTCTAGTACAATCAAAGAATCACATCACCAGAGACACCCACGGGTCCTATCACAACTGAAGAACAGGTTGGACCTGATCTAGGGCTCTTGCACGTGACATGCCCCCCCCTCCCATTATACACTTTTGTTCTTGGGCTCTTTTAAAAGGCGACTGAGGGAAAACTCACTGGATTCTGTGTTTGGGTTGCAGCAGCCGGAATAAGGAGAGTAAACTGTGAGTAAAGCTTTCTTGGGTGACTGGGTTACTTTTTAATGGAATTTTGAATTCTAAAGTCCTTTTTATTTCTATTATCATTCCATACTTCTAAAGCGAATAGATGCCTGCAGCTACTAGTGATGATTAGATTTTTTTAAAAAAAACTAACCGCTACACTGCTCTTTCTGATCAGGCTTATTAAAGCATTAATCTGTTGCACATCTGACTGGAAGCAAGTCCTGTTGAATTCAATAAATAAGTATTTCTGAGTAGACATAAAGAGGATTTCACTATGAGTTGCAATTGCTTTACACTACTAAAATGCTTAGATGTCGCACATAATTTTAAGCTGTGTATAGTATGGCAGTTTGAGATTTCATTATCCATTTCTTTCAGGAAACAAATTATCATAGTGGCAATGAGTGTTGCCAATTAATAATGATGCACAGTAAAAGAAAAGAAAAATGGTGTTTTAGGTTACAAGATACAGATTTTTTCTTAATTTCTCCAAGAACCTGATAAAACTAATGAGTTTCTCCTGGTTCAGTAAAGTTAATAAAATGAAATGCAAAGCACACACATACAGAGTTAAAGACTTTTCTTTAGTTAATTCTTCTTCATGCTGTTATATAGCTTTTTCTTTGTTGCACTATTTTTAATGAGAGGATAGCAAGCAAACTGCTTTCTAGAAGAAGCAGATCTTGGAAGTTTTATTTTCTGGATTTCAACACCCCAAAAGTATGGCTGTCTGGTGGATTCTGGAAACCGTAGTCCAAAAGAGTATTACTTCCAAACTCTGAAAAAAAGAATTACCCTGAGAAAGTCTGAGCTGTTCAAATTATGTGTTTGTTCCTTTTTCATCTGTGCAATTTAGCTGAACTGTTTATAGATGAACCTCTTATTCTGCACTCATTGCTTACTCACAAAAGAGTGGAACTATGTTAGGATAAATGTTAAAAGCGCATGTAGCCCACTTTGCTTGAAAGTCCTACTAGGTTCAGGGAAGTTTGGTCCCAGGCAAACCACTTCTGTGTTTTTTTTCTACCTAGAAACCCCTGAAAAATTTCCCCATGAGTCAGAATCGACTTGATGGCACGGAATTATTATTTTCATGTCTAGCTGGAGAGCTCATTGAGTTATATGGCTACAGAAGCAGAAGTTGGGAGTTCAGTTCCCTAATTTGCCTCTGAAAGAGAGCCAGCTTGTGTGGTTTTGGGCAAGCTGCACAGTCCCAGGGCACTCCCAGAAGAAGGGAATGGGAAACCACTTCCATTTATTCACTCCTAGAAAACCTTGGAAAGGGTTGCCATAACTCAGAATTCACTTGACGGCACACTATTATTATTATTAAGCATGTAATGGACTGCAGGCAAGCAAAGTCCTTTGTGCCACAGCTTTGGCTATGCCATGCTCACATTCCTAGTTGTCAACTTGCATCTCATTTGAACATTGACCTTTCTGCTATATACTCCTTTTATCTAGTGAGCCTGTTTTTATTTCTATAACAGGATAATATGTATGTTCCTGTGTTTCTCTGTGTGTATATCTATAGGCTGCCGACATACATTTTCAAACAAAGAGTTCACTATCTGTCTGTTAAAAGGAGGCAATTGAAGCACAGGGTTGCGAATGTTTGCATTTACAGTGCAAACATGAAGACTTCAAGTGTGCATTCTCACTGTCTACATTGCAAATCAATGCAGTTTTCAATGCAGTTTTTGTGGACTGAAGCATCTTAATCTATCTTTTCAGTATAGCTGTTGGGGGGGGGGGTCAAAAGACCAAAGTAATTGGGGAAAGAGATAATTGGGTACTTTTCTCACTGGAGAAATGTAACCAAGTACTGACAACAAAACTGTCAAAAAATTGGTGGTGGACAAGAGCCTTAAGTACTGTGTTGCCTACAATTATTATTGTAAGGCCATGCTTGTCTGTATCACTGGCATTCCTATTATTGGTGTTTAAAGTATATCTGCCAAATTTCCCTTATTAATGCAGTGAGCAGTCTGTAGTGACAAATTCATGGAAACATGGTATGTTAAGTGTACTTTGAAGCAGGTCCCTAATTAATGTATATGAATGAACGGGAGTAATGATTTAATGTTTCCCATTTTGCTAGATATTGCTACAGCATCCCAGTCACAAAGTACTGTACTTGCAAGGCATTTTCTACAGTCCAATTGGACATAATTAAAAACTTATTCACATATATATTTCAAGCTTATGCTTCACACACAATTAGAAACTACCTCAGACACTACCAAAGTCAAGGTGTGGTTCTAATGTAGTTGAAAAGGATCAAGACACGTTACTAGATGATGTCGAATGTCAGTGCAGGATGGGAGAATTTACCAATCCTGAGAAATGTTTATGTTTCTTTTTATTAAGCTTGGGTGCCTCTCAATAAGGCACGTTTAAGCATTTGGTAACATAACGCTGCTCTGAATATCTGAGTGTAGCCAAGAAAAACAGAGGAGATCAGCAGGAGATTAGCAAGAGTCGCTCTTAATTTGAACCTCCTTGGGTGAAGGCCTGGATTTATTCCCCGAGTTCAGCTTGGAGCTAATATAGCTATGGCCAACAGTGGTGGTCAACCCCTGACAATGATATCATGAAATGGGATGTCGGATAACTGCATAGAGAACATCCATTCTCAGCCTATTTTTGGCCACAGCAGAAAAAACCCACACATTTTGAAGGAAGTATAGGCCCAAACAGGAATGTATAAGTTGCAAAATGAACCTTAGAAGGTTCCGTGTCAAAATATTTTTCCAGTCTGTGGTCCCTTCAAATGTGTCAGGGCTCCCATGGGGCCATATAGCTTCCGTTGAGAATGGCTGATTATAGACCATCTCTAACCTTCAGTCCATTCCTGGGCAGAAGCACAACTGGGTTCAGCTACATTGTTTTCCCTAAGTGAGCATGTGTAAAATTGCAGTTTAAATATAGTTTGGGACTTGCAGATTCTAGTGAAATGACATTTTTAGAAAGCTATGTTTATGTCCATAAAACTTTTCATTTAAAAAGTATATAGACTATCATGGGTTGCAGCAGCTTCTATATTTAAACTGCTTACCACTGGTTGCTATAGTGCCATCTCGTTAGAGAGTTAAGTATGCACTAGGTTTCACCCTGCATTCATCTATGGACAAGACACAGAACTCTTCCCCTCAGGTCTAAAACACCAGTGCCACCCATTCTTGTAACGTGGTTCTCCAAATGTCATTGGATGCAACTGCCCTCAGCCTTCCTGTTGGTACAACCATTGTCTATGCTGCCTAAAATTTATAGGAATTGTAGTCAGGCAATGTCTGAAAAGCAACTACTTCTCCAACCTTGATCTAATGTATGATAAGCCTGGAATGCTTGCTGGTGCCATTAGTGTGTATGACACTCAGAGTGGCAAAATAAATAAATAAAAAAAATAAAAAAAATAAAAACAAACACAAGCTCAATGTTCCCATAAGAACTCATCATCTCTAGACTATAACATGAAATGACACAGGCTTAGTCAGAAAAGGGAGAGGCATGAATAACAGAGAAGACTTTTATTTATGTAGATGTGTTTATCTTATCTCCTTACCAAAATATGTGAGCAAATGAAGTCCGTGCACTTTGAAATTTCTTTTCGTTGCATGTTTCAATCAATAAGGTCATTATAGTCACATGACTGTTTAGATACACATCAACCAATTTGCACACTATACAAAGAACATAGAAAGTTCTTAAAAAGCAGTGGTGCACTTAATGACAGCATTATCTCTTCTGCCTCTTGGTTGACTTGTTGGCTGTTTTCTTTGCATATTCACAGGCAGGCACATGCTCATAAGAAATGGGAGGGGCACAATTGTGGAAGTACTGTAATGAAAGGCAGCTTGATTCATTGCATGTGACTTGTTCACCATTTCATAGGATTTTGTGTTGTTATGAAGGATTTTGAAGCTGGTTAGAGGCACCCGGGTCTTTTCCATACCTTGTTGCATGAGACTTATTGGCCCGTTCAGGTGCACAGTTTGGAAGGAGCTGGAGAGTAAGAGTGGCTACAATTACCTAAGGGAATATTAAATTAAACAGACAGGTGAAAATGCCACATAACCCTGCTGGTTCTACTTGGCATTTTGTGGCACCATGTGTATATGTACTAAAATGGATGGTACCTGGCTTGAATTAGCTTTTAGCCATATGTGTCCAAGAAGTGCTCATCTCTTTGGAAATAATCAGCAACATTCCTTCTTATGGCACTATAAAAAGTTAATAGATGTACTGTAATTAATAATCATGCCACACGGGCATAGTGGACTTATCATCCTCGGATTCTGCACTTAAACACTGCCTCCTATCATCCAGAAGTCATCCCAAGATTTGAGGTACATCGTCATCAATATGCTGATGACACACAACTCTGTCTCTAATTTACTACATTTGTAGTGGATATAGTTCAGCTCCTGGAGTGTTGCCTGTCTTTGATAATTACCTGGATGAGGGCAAACAAGTTAAAATTGAATCCAGACAAGACAGAGATCTTGTTGCTGGGTGAACCTCCTGACATGTTAGGGAATAATCTAGCTAGTCAGGTCCAGAACGTAGTAGCCAGGTTAATATCAGGGACTAGGCAATTTGATTTGTTTCCCTAATCCTGGCTGATCTGCACTGGCTCCCTGTTTCCTCCTGTGTGAGGTTTAAGGTGTTGGTTATAACCTATAAAGTCCTAAATGGTTTTGAACCTCGTTACCTATTGGAACACCTCTCCCCAAGGGTATCTACCTGTCCAACCCATTCCTTTCAGGCTGCACTATTTAGGGTACCTACCCCGAGTCAAATAAGGAATAAGCAATACTAGAACCCAGGCTTTTTCTATAGTGGCTACCCTCACTGTGGAATAAATTTCCACCAGAAATTAAAGAGGTCCCCTCCCTACAGATTTTTAGGTCTGTAAAAATTAAATTATTTAAGGAGATCGTTGGCAACATCCTAGCTTAATTGAGACTAGTATTCTGTTGCAATTATTGATTATTTTA